AACCCTGCCTCATCAATTCTATATTTAGATCTATTAGGCCTAACTTTTAGAACAAATGTTACATCTAGATCTGTTAACCTAGTCATTAGATCTGTCCCAGTGCAATGCCTAGTTTAATAGTTAGTATAGGTCTAAGTATGCTTATAATATAGGCTACAATTTGTATGATGATGGACCTAGGGTCCAGAAATAAAGTTCTAACTGCAATTAGACCTAAAGTCTAGTACATTAGTTGGTGTAATACATGATTTATAATCAGCCAATACAATTAAGAACCACTACATAAGGCCTATAATGTTTACTAGATCTAGATCTTGCCTGTTGCATATATTGCCAATCTTGCACACCAGTTAATGTTACATCAATCTCGTATTTTCTTTTTCTTGAACATACACTTACTTGTACATTGTACTCTAGGACTTGTATTTGATCTACAGATGAATGATGGAATAGTGTAATTTACTTCTGTATGTCAATTCGGTCTCACTGTATTTCAGTGGGCGGCTTTTAAAAGTTAAAACTGCAAGCGTAATACACACAAATAATGTAACACTGTGTCGTATTTACTTAAAGGAGGGCAGTTGCGCTATATCCCAGGGGAGGGCATAATTATTAATTAATAGGCATTATAGGCCAGAGGAAATATTGTGCCCCTTCACACCTGCGTCTGGGGGCAGCTGCCCCCTCTTGCTACACCACTGCTCTGGTTATCAGTTCAAAACCATGGATATCTATGCCAGAGCTTTAATGTTGTATAGCACATGTGCAGTTAAGGTGTCTTCTGTTTGAAAAAGCCAATGACAATTACCCTATTTGATGAGTGTGTATGTATATATAAACACGCACACACACATATATATAATTAGAAAAATAAATTTTCATTTGCTACCTTTTTACTTTTACTCCCTAAATAAAACATCTCTATTCAGTCCTTATTTATACATTGCAGTTTTTTTCTCTTACTTTTGCCTTCTGTTTTAAGTAGGTTTTCACAACAGTCCCTAGAAAGCAGTGGGTGACAGAGTGGCCTGGGCAAGTGGTACTCTGTGTTTCTCAGATATTTTGGACACTTGAGGTTCACAAGGCTATCAAGGGTGGAATCAAAGCTCTCCAGTTGTACTACAGCCTTCTTCAAATGCAGCTATCAGATATAGTAACCCTTGTTCGGGGAAAGCTTTCCAAACAAATTCGTACCACACTTGGAGCTCTTGTAGTAATTGACGTTCATGCACGTGATGTCATCATGGAATTGGTTGAAAAAGGTAATTTTTGGAAATTGTGTGTTTTCTATTTTTATGTTATAGCACAGGTATATACCTATTTTTCCTTAATAAGTAATAACATAGCATGGTACTTCCAAATGTTATTTCTGTATAGTGTTTATTTCATACTTGAGATAGTTCGATGTTTTCAAGTAAAAATTTTAAGGCTGTGAAAGTAAACGGTTTTAAAGTTGGAAAGACATTAGATTTGAACTTTCAAATAAATCAGACTTTCAAATGGAAATTCTTATATTTTGATTGTTTTACAATGAGCATAGATTAAGAAAATATTATCTCGAGTCATGTTTGTATATATATATATATAGTGATATTGCAATCTAGTAAGCATATGATTAAAACAAAGAAGAATGAATGAAATAAAAAGGAAATATTACTCAATCCACATCAATGAAATATAAATTGTAATGCCATTATTCCTAGATGATAACTCACCTCCTTACACAGTTTAGTTGTCTTCCTCGATCATCTGCCTAAAAGATTTGCATGCCACTAGCCATGGGGTAATTTCCAGCTAATTTAAAATGTGTTAACATGAACTGCACTGATGCATGATGATGTCATCATACAACGAAAGCCCTCCACCAACCTCCATGCACAGTAATTCCCTATGCATATACACTCATAGTAACTTTGTTCTTCTCCTTGGCATTGTATCAATCAAACATTTTTACATTTCTCATCTGCATTCAATTTATAGAGATTTGCATATTAACAAAACATTGATTTTCGTTTTCTTTGGCTTCTGTTTCAAGACCTTTAATTTTTATCCTGAATTTTCAAATGACAGTGACTTATGGTTAGTCCTGTGTCAGGGTCATTGCAGCCATTATTCAACATGTTGTGCATTACGACATGCTTACTAAGTCTCCTACTCCCATCCTGTCACCTGGTATTCTTTCTGTCTAGTCAGAAAAGGATATTTTAGACTATGACTTTGACTTGAGTTTATTTTATTAGTACCTTACCATTTGAGAAATGACCTTAACCATCCATTCTCTTTCTGGATTTTATTCTCAGGTATGTTCCATACCTTTTCCTTTGCCTGTGTTCTTTATTATTTTTAATTTTTTATTTCTTCTTGCTGTTAGGATTTATACTGTTTCCTTTCTCTAATATTTCCTCTCTCACACCCAAATGCTTTATCCCCCTTTGTATACCTGACTCTTTTTGATTTGTAAACCTTCTTCCGTTCCTTTTCTCAATTCTCTGTTCTTGTTATCTGTTTGGCTAGCTAAGAGATTAGGCCCCCTTATCTCTTATTTCACTTTCTTGTTCCCCATTTTTTCTCTACCTTCCTATATTCCCATTCCTAACTCCACCTTTTACTTCTGGCACTTCTTCATGTTTCAGATGGGTTTCTGTAGATGTTCATTCACTTCTCTTTGCTGGCTTGGCCTGTTCCACTTTTTCTGCTCTATCCTTCCTTACTACAGGTGGATCACTTGGCCATGTTCCACTCAGACAATTCCATGATTCCAGGACCCTTTGCTTACAGTCTTTAGACATACACTTCTGGGCCATTCATATTGGGTTTGTCTTATTGGCCATCATTTGTCAGGAGCTTAAATCTTGCTGGCAGGCTGCCTTTGTCACCAGTCTCTCACCTCTTTTTATATGCTTATTCCCCTGTTCATCTTCTCCTGCTGACCCTCGACTTTACACACTACTCTTCTTGTCAGGTTCTATTGCTGGTGCATTTTTAACCAACTTTGCTTTGGTCTGCTTGACATTTGGATCTCCACTCTTTCTCCCTACATCCTCATCTGTGAGATTGCCCGACCCATCACCCATAGGGCCTGACTTTCAGATTGTGTGACATTCTTGCTGTCCTTCCATTGTCTTTGTCTATCAACGACTATGGCGAGTTCTTTTTCACTGGTCTTTCTACTACTACTTTCTTTCTGGCTGTCATACTTTGAACCATTTTTACCTAACTGTTTGTCCATGGTTTGTCAGTCTCTGCCTTAACTGGTCATGTTTTCATTCCATCCGTCCCTGTGACACATGGGGCTCAGTTTCCTCTTCCCCTCTTACATTCTGTGACCCTCTGGAACTACTGCTATTGGGTGTGACATGTAATGGAGTTTATTTAGGTAAAATTTTGCACTGGCCCCTCCATCAATTCAACATGAGTTTCTAGGTGAAATATGTGAATAGGTGAGTTATCATCTTAGAAGTTGGGAATTAATATTTTCCTTATCTGAAAATGTATTTTGTACAGATATTTACCTTTTCACACTTTCCCACACATCCTTCCCACATTCAGTGTACATTTTTGTATTGATTGTCAAAGAATGAAGTTATTGCAAGTGCATAGGGAGAGTTACTGCACACAAAGGTTGTGTGGCATGATGACATTATCATCATCCACCAACACAGTTCACATTAAAACATGAAATTAGATGTAAGTTACCTCTAGGCTAGTGGCATAAATATCTCTTAGGGAGACACATAAGAAAGATCGCTGAGCTGTGTGAAGAGGTGAGTATCTATAGAAAATACATTTTTAGATTAGGAAATTTTTAACTTTATTTAAACTTTTTCAGCCTTTATTCATAATGTGAAAACAGAGATATGCAATTTATTCAATAGGCTAACACCATTACTTTGCCAAAATAAAATTAATATAAAAAAAGGCGAGAATTAGTCAGAACACTGCTTTTAAACTAAAAATCAAATTCTAAATAAAATTATTCATTTGAAGAGAAACTTTATGGGCCTTTTTTAATAAAGATTATTCTCATAATTTGTTTATTGAACACATGAATACGAATACTTATATTTTACTTTATTGAGAGAAGGTATGCAAAATCAAAAGAAAAAAAAATTCAAATACCACCAAAAAACAAAGTTTTATTTAATAAAATAGTGGCTTAACAGTAAATCTGGGTTTATATAGCTTTGTGCTTAACAATGAAGAAACAAGAAAACAAATGTAATGAAAAACTTATACAAGTCTGTATTCATTTGATAAATGTCTAAATTTTATTTAGCTAGAGAATATCTCCAAAGCTTAAATTTGTTTAGTCTAAATACTCAAACAAAACTTTGATTTAAAATCAGACTGTTATTATTATCCCTCCATCTCCTAAAGGAAGCTCAATGTAACTAAAATAAAACCTAAAATACATTACTTAGATAGTAATTAATATAAGAATTAGAAAATACTCCATATTATTCTTGAACATCTTTTATTTTCACGTTTTAATTTTTAGGTTTAACTCATTTCTATAACCTTAAAGAATGTCTACAGCTTATCACAGAATAATGATCAAAAATGATAAGACTGTGGGCTCTTGATTCATATTTAATGACCCCACATGTATGTCTTTTTACACCACCACAGTAGTGAACCAAAGAAATCTATAAAACCATTTTACCACAACAATACTATGCTGGGAACTCACAGGAATCTATCATTATTTATTATACCTATCACTTGAATTGCATTGATTTCACATTTTACATCAGATAAAATTATAAAAGTGATTGTAAAATATGCATTTACACATATGTACACAGTTTGTGTGAGATTCATTTATTAATTAATATAGCAAATGTTAGTTTGTTATTTTAACTGTTATCTACATCCATCTAAGATACATTGAATACCTTTTTAACTGTTTCTACAGGAGTACAGTCTGAATTGGACTTCCAGTGGCAGGCTCAGTTACGTTACTACTGGCAGGAAGAAAATGTCAAAGTTCATATCACAAATGCTACCGTTAGTTATGCTTATGAATATCTGGGAAACACTGGACGGTAAGATAAAACCGGTTTTCATAGGCGTGTAGTATTTAAAACTTAACTTGGGAACCTGAAATCTGTATGTTATTGTTTTGTGGTGAAAACATTAATATGTAAAGATCAATATTTTTCATTGTCCTTTATAAGATTGTTATAATATATCAACAAGGCAAGCTATGAAACTGTATTCTGTACAAAATAATCATAGAATGCTTGTTTTTTCATTTGGTATATATTAATAGCATGCCATTTCTTAAATGTTTTCTAACTACTGAAATATTGTTTTATTGTGTGCATTAGAAAAGGTATTTCCTAGGCTTGGGTGAATATCATCTGCTTGTTATAAAGTATTCAGATGGAAGGGAATTGCTAATTTAAAGTTTTTATATTTTTGGTGATTACAAAAATATTTATTTATCTATAGGATGTGACTGAACAAGCTCATGTATTTTTAGAGTGTTTTGACTATTAGAAATGCTGTGAATAATTCATATCAATGCTCATAGAATTCCCTTACCCTAGAGGAAACAGTCTAATCTGATATCTCCATTACATACTGACTAAGCATACTAAAAATAGGCTATTAGGTACCCCACTTGGTTAGGAGAAAGACTTGTATATGCTGCATAAATGATTGTTGTAAGTGTAATAAAGTTTCTTCAATCAGTACTGAAAACACGGGAACAGCAGTTCTCATTATGAAATAAAAATCTTCAAACTTACCTTTTAAATTCTGATTGATGTTGCAATATTTTATGTGGATGGAGAAATACATTTCTTCCACACACCATGTATATATATATGTATATTCTACACCGTAGGATTTAACTTTCTGAATCTTTCTGGTGGAAGGAAATATTTATAAATGAATAGTGTAATTTAAAGATGTATTGGATAACATGTGGATATTAATCATTTATATAACTTTATGGTTCATTTGCATTATGTGCTTAATGAGTTGACAATGTGTAAGTATCTTAGATATTTGATTACTTGGGGCTTTGGTCGCATAGTGGGTGTAACTTTATGTGCATATAGAAGTGCACATGCCATAAACTTATATAGAGTGCAAGTGAACTTAGTATAATGTATTTGATATCAGAGTTTTCTACTATTCATTTGAACCTGCATTGCTGATTTTGCAACAGTTCATGATAGAGGAAAGTAAATATGAAATAAAGTATACAGGGATACTGAAAAAACTGTAGATGTGCATTTCAGAAGCCTTAGAGGTTATGCAAGTAATATGCAAATAGTACATTGGACAAAAGTGTTTTTAATGTTCACATGAACATTACTTTGCACTCCATCTTATCAAAGTCTTAAGTTAGGCTGATGTCAGTAATTCACAGACATACCTTTTGCTACACGTGTTTTTTTTGTGTTCAATGGATTTTTACATTTTGCTAAAAGTTTGCCACGTTTCATATATATATACACACACATAGTAAATTCAAAATTATAATCAACATTTCTTCTCCATTATGAAGCTGGTTCAATGATACTCTATGATATTCACTTTATAAGTTACCTGTTATGCCTAAACTCACATGCATTCTAACTTTTACTTTTCAGAAACTTCAAGTATTGTGACTTCAATTCATAACAATGAACTACACAACAAATGATTCATAAACAGTTACATAAGCAAACCTGTGATAAGTTATCACCTCTAAATATACTAAATTTAACATTTGTGCTTTATAATTATCTAGATCATAACTCTTGTACTGTAGTTTTTGGTGGATTTCCTTTTAAATAAGACTTTTTTCCTATGCACAGAACAAATTTACATTGATCAGACCTCCCACAAATGACTTCACAACAGATGAGACATAACACCATGATTTTTGGGTGGAAGGTCAAATAATGACTTTTCTTCATATCAACAATGTAATTTACAGATACACATGAATACAGTGTATAAAGTATAGAACAAAGAGGTCACATGTATTTTGGTGCCCTGAGGTGTTCAAGTCAAACTCCTTGGTACATACACATAAGTATTTTGGTTTAAAAACTTTCAAATCCTATGAGGTAACCAGGGGAGGTCAGAAACTGTTGTTTGTCTTCGTCCCTCTCGTGGAATTAAGGTTTATTCTTTTAGTGAATGTAGTAGATTTTGAGCTAGTGGCCTAGACATCAAGTAATTTCATTAGGATTTACTAGTGGGGTGTGAAGATTATTAACTCACAGTTTGTTGAGTGACAGACTTGATTAATCTGTGTGGTAAGCATTTGCTAATAAAATGCCTCAAGGCATGTGAGAAAGCTGTGAATGTTTCAAGCTGAGAACAGGAAGTCACTGTGAAGAATAAGGCTTAAAGTGTTAATATAGAACAAAATATGGAAATTACAGAATTTTTAGTCCACTTGAAATTGTTTTAATACAACATAAATTTTATGTAGAATTTGTATTCAGATATTTATTCTTATTTCTTTATTGGTTCTTTTAAATTTGCAGAATGGTCCCTTTCAGAGCTGGGATCAAAGGATCCAAGTTTCAAGGTGAAAGTTTGGTTTAGGGTGGGGCTGTTTTGTTCAGTTAAGATACATAGCTTTCGATGTTTGGTTCCTAGCTTTCGATGTTTGGTTCTTTGTTTAAAATTACATCCTTTTGGATAGATATAATGTGGATTTTTTTTAGTTACAATGGTGATGAATACAAGTATGGAATGTTTTTTTATTATATTCAGTGTGTAGAAATCTGGACATTTATTGCATGTTATTTTTTAAATTGATACTAAAATCATGCGCATAAAACTAACAATGAAATAGTTCTTGATATAATAACTGCTAGACTCATGAACATTCAAAGTGACTCTATTAAATGTACAAAAGAAACAGAGATGGACGATTTTTCATGAAATATATTTTGTGTCAGTTTGTAATATTTTATATGTATGTACTAAAAGTGTGATACGTGGATGTTTATGAAATAAATATGATCGATGAATAAATTATTTTACATAAAACAATTTTAAGTTAACTTTATTGACTGTTATCCATCATAACTATTATTATACCAATTTGCCACGTTATCTGACAACCTATACAGTATATAAACTATTAAGCTCAACCCCTGGGAATAGCAACTGGCACAGCATGAACTCGGTCGTTTGTTATCTGGTTATTGATCCTTTGAATACTGACTTCCTGTAAGATACAAATTTTTTATCAAAGCAGAAATAAGTTGGTCATGTCTAAGAGGGATTACATATTAAACTTAAATGAAACAATAGTGTATATCTAACAACAAACCCATCTTCAAGAAAAATATTTTTAATATATTCTTATATTATATACAAAGACTGTTGTCAGTTCATAATACACAAAGTCTACTCATACAGACTGCACCAACATTTGCAGTCCCCCTTGATGGCTTCAATATAGAACCTGTAGTTCTGGAGGTACAATTCCCATTTCATGATCCTCACACTGTCGATTTTGCACCTCTGGATGTATTCAAGTGACTGATGGTCCATCCGGATGAGGAATTCCTTCTTGTAGAGGTAGTTCTGGAATTTCCGGATGGCAAGTATGATGGCCAGATACACTTTTTCAATCAAAATGGCTTTTTACTTACATACATTACTGGAAACAGTCCATCTTCATGTTCTTGTAAGAGTACTGCTACAATTTAAATGTCTGAAGAATCATCCTGAATGATGAATGGTTTGGATGAAGTCT